AAGTATATGGAAAGCTGCAAACCCACAACTACTAAGAGCTTATGCATAAGATCTCATCTGCTTAAAACTTCACTTAAAACTTCAAAACGAAAACTGAATACTTTCTCATCTGTAAAAGTGCAGAAAGATAATACTTAAGTGAAATTAAAATGTTACTTGCATCTTCTCTGCCACATCCACACAGGTTCTCACACAGCAAAACAGCAGCAAATAGCCAGTACACATTCTTGCTGCCAACTAATGTGCATAAGCAAGAAAAAGAGCCACAGGAGAACACCATACGTGAAATGTAAGCACAGTTCATTTGCAAGCTTTGGATAACCACCCTAGAAAACAGTATTAAACTGTTTTAAAATGCATGGAAGTATACATTCAGAGACTAGAATATACATTCATTAAAGAAAATACCTGTAGCTATAATAACAAGCTGATGATGTTCAAAGGCAAAATTAAAGAGATTTTAGTGAAATAACAGCACTTCTGTACTCCAAGTCAAATTAGAAGACAAAGGTGTTGTGTGCTGTTGTACTTACCTTTAGATGCACTTTTTATCTTCTGAGTCTGTCAAACCTCACTTAAATTACAGTTAGAGTTCATATGCAGCATCTCATAGATCTACACTTAATACAAAATATTTATTCTCTAAGCAACAGATGAATGAATGCTTGAATTTCAAATGTTAATTCCTGAGCAGGGGACCACTGAGTCCCTTGTGCACATTTGAGCCACATGCTGTCATAGAAATCCACACACAATTAAGAAAATGTGCATTCACACTTACATCACTGTTGAATACAGTTTTGTTTCTTAGCTTAGAAAAACAGTACGAAAAAGTGTCCAACAGTCTCAGGGCTGCCTGAATCGCCTCCCTTAGTGTTGTCTCTCAAACAAAGCTTCACATACACAGGGTGAGTTCCTGACACTGTCACATCAAATAATGGTTTGGTAGTTTTTTGAATTCAGTTACAGTGCTTCAGGAGAATGCCGCTCATTTTCTATAACAGTAGGACTTCCCCACGCTCCACACAGCTACAGGTATCACCCATGCCTACTAAATTTCAAAAGCCTAATTCAAATTTGTCTCCTTTGCTCATTTGTAAAATTTTACCAGCAGTTCCCATGGAATCAGAACTGAGTCAGCAATCTTTAGCTCAGCTGCACTGCAGTGGAATTTCATCAAAACATTTTTCTTCAGAGCCTACAGACCTGGAAATCCAGGGAACTGTCAACAAATTCACTTGCAGAATTTTTCTTTTTTCAGAACTGTAAGTAAAAAAAAGGTTTCTGACACTGGTAACAGCTTGACTATCAAGGAAAAACAGTAATGGTTTCAATATCAAAGTTGGCTAACAGTACAGAATAGCAGCTATGCAAGTCTCTATTTGTTGTTTCTATAATAGTTTTCAATTGCTTCTGAATTAAAATACACTACAGTAACTGTGATATCATCTCTGTACATTCTCGCAAGGTCTTCAGGCAGTGTCAGCATCGCAGCAAGTTTCTCTTGGTCCACTTCCCCATATTCATTACTCCCAATTGCGTGCCGTATTAAATGTGTCGCTGTGTTGTGGTCCAGTGAGGTGATACCCCTGTTTTTCCTCTGAAGTAACAGGTTGTGCAAATAACCCAAATTAACTGGTTTCTCAAAAGCTAGTTGTGGTTTCTGCACATTAAGCTCTGTAAGGTGTCCAGCAACTAGTTTTACAACCCTTTCATTACTGAGCATCTCCCATAGTCCATCCGAAGCAATAATGAGAAACTTATCCTTGCCTCTTAGTTTATGGTATGTGACTTCAGGCTCCGCTGTTAAATATGGGGGTGTGTGATAGTTTGGAGGAACATACTGATAAATATTTAACGCCCCAACATCAGAGCTATTCTCAAGAACGCTGTGTTGCAATTCTTTACTCCATTTTAGTTGCACATCTCCAAAAGCTCTGGAGGGCATGAGAATGCCCAGTAATCTGTCATTCACAAACAGCGTTTTCTCCTCGGATCTAGGATGTTCTCTCTTTAGTCTTCTGATTTCAGATTCATCATAGGCATTGTGGTCTCGTGTTAGAGGGAGAGTAGACCAAGTTCCATCTTCTTCACGAACCCCTAAAATTGCTCTGCAATCACCAGCATTTGCAACATGCAGGTGAACACCATCAATGTGAGCTACACACGCTGTTGCACCAGAAAAAGCTACCTGAAGGGCAGTGTTTCTCACCAATTCATCTTCCTGGGGAGCCTGAACTTCCAGTGATATGTCTGAGTCTAACCTTTTGAATGCGCTAATCATGGCTTCTTCCAAACTAAATCCTGGCTCAATGTCTAGGTCCAGTAAATGCTGCCAGTAAACTCGCAGGCTCTCAAAATACTGTGAAGTCATTTCTCGATGCTCTACATCATTTGGATGCTTGTGCAACTGCAGAATAGGAATAACTGGTTTCATGCACTCCACAGCAAGCTCCATTTCTTCCAAAGTTTGTCGAGACATGAGAGAAACTGCTATATAATGAAGTAGTCTCTCACTTACTGCCTGAGCACAAGCAGAACCAGCATGGCCATCAAAGACACCAAACATCATCCCCCTGGTCTGCAAGCAAGTGGCTGCACTCCTGCGGTCTTCAATAGGAGTATTGGATGCCAGTTGGTTACTTTCAAACCTCAACACAGAATTAGTACTTTTACAACTTGAATCCAGTATTTTATGGGATATTTCACCTGCTCTGAGTATATCGTTGATTTGTGTTGGAGACAACTGGAAAGAGAATTCTTCTTCTTCAGTGGAGGTGTGCCTGAATGCTTTTCTCAAGGAGAAAGTATTGTCTAAGCTGCAGGTCCCAGCAGGGTAAAGAAGTGTTTTGGAAAAAACAAGCTTCCATTTTATTTTGTGTCTGTTTGGGACACATATGGAATACAAACGTCCTCTTCTTTGTAACACAAAGGTGTTCTTTGCTGAGCCTAAGATCCAGGATGATACAGTTCTTGACATCATAAGTCACTCCACAAGTAGAAGCAACTTCTTTCAATCAAACAGGATGTCCTTACAGTCTGCAATAAAAAAAAAGCACACAACTTGCAAGTTTCACAAGATGCTTTCTATACAGCAATTTCCTGTACAGCAATATGTAATCTAGAGCTCACAGAAATGTTCAGAACAGCTATGGATACAAGCATCTAAGAAGTGACCTAAGAAGTTTCCATTACTTAATTACAATCTCGGTGAATTTAACTTTGCATATGACTGTCTCTTACCACTTCATTCAACAGAAAAGCTAATTTTTTATTTGCCAGGTTTTTGGTTTTTTTTTTTTGTTTTTTTTTTTTGTCATTACAGCAAGGCTAAGGGAAAGCTCCAACATTACAAGAAACATAACTTTTCAGTGAAAAGCCCAGTGTAACAAGATACAGAGGAAACAAATTCCTCTAAGTTTTTCAGCCTAAGAGGCAATTAATGGCCAACTTTACAGACTGCTACAGTCCAGCTCTATTAATGCATTCTAAATATGAAAACCAAGAGTATTCAAATCCTACAGAAAAGCTGAAAGAAACAGCAAGCAGATTAACATTTTATGTAACTTGCCTTGATCTTCTTGTCTAGAGCAAGCTAGCCGACCTTTCTAATTCTGTTCCAGCTTACGTGCTTGATTCTTTTTATACCTTTCAGGTCTTAACACAGGTAGGATTTCTGCACAGCTGAAGTCGAGTTTTACTGTTTATCACAGCACTGCACACTTAGACAGTACAGAAGTTACACCACAGTTTTATTGGTGACTTTTACAGCTTCCAGTTAGGCATGCTCATTTAAAAAGCAATGAAAACAAGCAGCAGTGAAGAGCTCTGCTGCCAAAAGCAGTGGAACCTGGGGCATCTGAGGTACTTCTTCTTCCAGGGAAGAGGTCCATCCTATTGCTTCCTCCTTTAAATCAGGTGTTCAAGCTGGGGGAAGCACAAATTGCTGCTAAGCACAACTAGATGCCCCAGGGATTTGAAAAGCTAACTGTGTTGTAGCACTGCAAATACAATTACTCCCAGAACACCACAATGGCAACAGTTACAGTTTTCCAGGAGCTCAGAAGCCACTTGAGGCTGCTGCTGGCATTAGGTGCTCCAGGGCTTAGCCCAGAGGTGCCACATACTACTGCAATACTGTTGTGTTAGCAGGGAACCTGAAGAGAAGTAGCAAGAAGTCAGACCAGGCAGCTGCATAAAGAATTGTTCTGAGAAACCAGCAGAAGCTAAAAACAAACCTAAACTATTCTAAACAAAAAGCCAACTGATAGCCAAGGACTTTACTGAAACCCCATCTGGAAAACAAAAGCAAAGTACACCACCATGGCCAGCTGAGGGGAAGAGCAGCGAGCTCCCACCACCTGGGGGCCCGAGGAGTAGAGGCTCAGGCTCACGGTGTTACTGCTGCCATCCAGAGGACAGGCGGCAGTGGCAAAGCCAACGCGTCAGCTCATCGCTCAGCGCGCGCCCGCAGCCTCCTGGGACAGGGACATCTCCTGACAGCGCCCCGTGTTGTGCGGCACGCAGAGTGCAACCCAAACAAAGGTAAGGGGAAGACAGCTGGCACTGCCCGCTCCAACAACAGCGAACCAAAGCACGCAGCACTACCAGAGATACCTTCTTCACGGCCAACCTCTCCCAGGCCACTACCCACTCTATTTCTTCTCTCTAGTCCCAACCTGCCGAGCCAGCTGGGGCAGAAACAATGATGACTTCTATATTCTTAACTGAAAAAGCTCACAAAAACAGCCTGCTACACAAACCCGGCCTTCCCCCGCTCACACCAGCCGCTAACCAGCCTCCCGTTGCCGAGAGCCGCACGGAGCGCACCGCGGCGCGGGCTGCGCTGCTGCCGCCCGGCACGAGCCGCGCCGAAGAGCGGCCGTTGCTCATAAGGGCAGTGCGCCGAAGGCCGTGATGCAAGAGCCAATTACATCAAACTCAGCTCCCCGCACGGCACGCCTACCGCTCCGCACCAACAGCGGCACTTCCTCCTCAGCCGCGTTAGTGCCAGCCGTACAGCCCGAGCTGCCCGCACCGCGACCCGGAGCCCGCAGAGGGAACGGCGGAGACCGCTTCCCAACAAAGCGGCGGCCACCCACGGCGCTAACCGCACACCACAACACCCCTCCCCGCCGCCGTGCCCGTGCCCTCGGCCCTGCACACCCACCTCACCCCCGCGGCTCCGTTCCCCGAACGCGGGGCCAACAGCCCCCGCCGCACGGCCGCCACGCGCCTGCACCTCCCGGGCCGTCCGCCGCGGTCCTGCCACGGGCGCTGACTGACGGCCCCGCCGCCCAACCCGCGCCGCCGACAGCGGAGCCGCCCCCCGAGCCCCTCCCCGAGGGATTGCGGCGGCGGGGCGGAGCCGGGGGTTCCTGCGGGGCCCCGGCGGGACGGGGCGGTAGCTGCGGCCCTGCGCCATGTTCTTTAGGTGCTGCGCGTCCTCGGAGAGCGAGGTGTGACGGCGGAGCGGCGAGGTGCAGGCGGGGGAGCGGCGGTCCCACGTCCTGCGGGGCTGGTGCTGCCGGCTTAGTTGTCAAAGTCACAAAGCGCCTTAGAAAGTGTCAGGCCCTGTAAGCTAAGAACAACCGCAGTTGCGGCTCACGTGGCAGCTCCGTTTCCGTGCCCGCTCTCTTGCTTGCCTGTGCTGTCATTTCCACAGAGACCTCGTGCAAAGCTGAGCACGCCGAGGAGCGGGCCTGCAGCACGGTGGTGGATGCGTTAGTGTGCCTTGTGGAATGGTCCCTGCCTCGGCTTGTAGCAGGGATTTAGCAAAGGCGGGCATTTGATAAGACCCGTTCATTTTTTCATTCTGCTGGCTGTTGGTATTGAAGCATTTCTCTTGTCAGTATTGCGTTGCGGGTCCTGCATGAGGTAAATGCAAACCCCAGCATGTCTCCAGTGGGAGGATGGGTGGCCATCATCACGAATCTGAGCTTTGGCTGTTCCTGCTGTGGTTTGGTTTTTAAGTAATATCAGTGAAACTCGGTTTCATGTCAACAGGAAGACCAAAACAAGAAGAGCGAGGTTACCGTAGAGAAAAAAAATCCGGACGTTACTTTAGCATCTGTGGAAATGATCATTTGACACATTGCTGAACTAAAGAGTCCTCCACGTCAGCCCTGACCAACCCACCAGCTTCTTGTGCCATTGCAGCAGTGATAAAACTTTGTCTGAGGGGTGTGAGGAGAGAAACAGGACTGCTCAGGCCTGCAGTATTTTTACCCTCAGGAATATCTGATTAGAATTGTAAATTTCCATGGAAGCAATGGATTGGTTGCCATGGTGCTCAAGAGCACAATTTTATTCCAAAGAGAAAAAGTTCAGTTGATATTCTGAAATGGGGAGAAAGATTTAATTTGGTGCTGCCTGTTAGAAAACAGCCACAGATCTGCGCCCCTAGGAAATCAGTGTGTGTCTGTCACGCAAGGGAGGACAGGTCCTGCAAATGACTTGCCCCCGATGGAGGTGGGACTTGCAGTGGCTCAAAGAGTGCAGCAGTGTGCCTAAGATGGCTTTTTGAAGGAAAATACATACAACTTCAGTCCACAAAAACACTTGGATACCTTCCTGCTCAGGGCCTTGCTAAAGAACAGTTGTTTGCTAGGTGTATTTTGCCCTATGAATAGTATGTTGCCTTTTATTGGCTGTACATTACATTTTCAATTTTCACAAAGGGTACCTGAGCACCTTACCTGCAGAGATCTCTAATCAGGGAAAAAAAAAAAAAAATCATGTATGAGACTGGGAAAAATTAGTTTTCACAATGTCTGTTAAAGCAATTGCAATTCCCAGTTTGGTTACAAAACAAATTCCCAGTCTCTGATCTCCCTATATAATCTAAAACAAATATGCAAACACCAGAAAAGCAAACAAGCTGCAAAAAATGTCAACAAACAGAGGTAAATGCAATGAGCAGCAGTTGGACAACTGTCCTCCCAGCTCTTCGCCTTCAGTTAACCCTTGCTGTTACATCAGCAGCTGAGCAGTGTGTCTATAAATGAAGTTGCAGGGGTTGAATTGATTATCCAATTTAAGTGACAGGGCTGGTGTGAAGGCATGTATATACTTGCTGTGATTGGATCTTAACATCACATTCATAATTTTTACTGGGTCTTGCTTACAGACTTCTTCAAATTAAACCGAAAGCCACTGTCACATGAAATGCATGCTCAGGGTTCTGTACCTCTGTAAAGGGGTGTTTAAATTTCTTGAGGATAACTTACCAGTGCAGGAACATCTGCTGGCTTGATTTGGAGTGCTCACATGTAGAAAAGTATGTTCCTTTCCTCCTCTCCAACTTACACCTTTTTCACCTCCGGCAGAGGAACACCTGAATTCCTGTGTTTAATATTCCATTCTAATAACATGAAATGAAATCAGTGATTAAAATCTGGAGGTAGTACAAGCAGTATTCCGGAACAGCAGAGGTATAAATGTTCTTTGCCTTACAGCCATGCAGTAGTGCTGGTGGAGTTGGTCAGGTCCCATCCATCTATTACTATTTCCTTCCAAGCAGTGAGAAAAACCATGAGGCCCAGCATTGCAGGTGGAGTATGCAGTATGAAGTGTTGTATGTGTGGTGTACGAATACCGAGTGCTGTATGAAGCGGTCACCTTTGCCTGCAGAAGGAATTCAGAGAGGAAAATAGCTAATCTGAAGTACAAGATAAGATCTCTTTTGTTCAGGCTTATCTCTGTTTTTTTTTGTGGGTTGTTTTTTTTTTATTTTCACTGGAGTGGTCACTTTTCTATCTTTCTGACCTCTGAACACCACCAAGAGCCCTGTCTTGTGACCAGGTGCCTCACAACATTTTTCTACCAATGCTTTTGCTGAGCTTAGTTTACACTTGTCACGAGAGATGGTCACGAATCACTGCTAGATCACATCAGCTGTATCAGCTGCCTACAAACCTTCCTGTTTGCAAAGGGTAGAAAAACTCAGGTGATTCTAGGCTGAAGCTATTAAAGCCAAACAGTTAAACGTAATGGAGTGTGAGGTTTATCAGGAGAGGATATCTCTGGCCTGCCAGTGAGAAAGAGATCACAAGTGATGCAACTGCCTGTTGAGTTTGTTTTGTTTTATCTGATAAAGAGGACTGCACGTGTACAGCCGGCACCGGGATCTCAATTATAACCACCCATAACTTTAGAAATAATCACGGCCAAAGTTACCGTTTCACTCATCTGCTGTACTGTCACTAAATAGCTTTTAAAAATTGCGTTTTGAGTGTCAGAAGCGGTGAGGAAACAGGCAGCCACCAGGCGGCATTTCCAGCCTGCTGTCAGCGCTGCTCCATTTCCGTCCCCGTTCCGGACGCGGGGCAGCAGCTGTGCGGCCGCAGCACCTCCCTGCCAGGGGGGGCTCGAGGAGCTGCGCTGCTCCGGCCTGGAGAAGTAAAGGCGCCTTACCGCAGCCTTCCAGCGCTTGAAAGGAGTTCACGAGCAGAAGGGAGATGTACCTTTTGCACAGTCTGATAGTGATAGGACAAAGGGGAGCAGTTTTGATCTAAAAAGGGGAGATGAGGTTAGGCGCTAGGGAGGAATTTACTCAGAGGGCAGTGAGGCGCTGGCAGTGTTACCCAGAGAAGCTGTGGATGTCCCAGCCCCAGAGGTGCTAATGGCCAGGCTGGATGCGGCCCCAGGAAGCAGGGAGGCTGGAACAGGATGACCCTTAAGGTTCCTTCTAACTTCAGCCATTCTATGAGTACGTTTTTTCATGATAGTTTTTTAAAAAACAAACCACTGAGAAAAGCTGTAAATAAGATAAAATTGTATTTCTAAAACAAGGTGTAATAAGCATCTCCTAGAAACTGAACGCCTTGTGGGATTCAGCATTTAAAGCTTCTTACAAGATCTAAGCTTTTACAGTAACCTTGTGAGTTAAATATTACCCTTCTGTTGTTCATGAGCAAACCACACGTAAAGCAGCATAGCACTACGTTCAAGGTCGTGGGATGGGCACACTCTGTAGATAAGTTTTTTTATTGTAGTGGAACAAATGGTTACAATTGGGAAAAACTGAACCTAGCTTTTGGTACAGAAGCCCTTTTAACTGTGTGTGTGTTTCTCAGAGTGAGAACAGGCTGCAAATACTGATCGGTGCCCTGCTCTGTTAAAGTGCTGCTGCACCAGTGCATGGGTAGTTTATATATAAAGTGATACTGGTTAAATTTCGCTCACAAGGCCTAATTTATATCCATAAAACAATTTGGTTCTCAAGTCTGTATTGTTCTTCTAAAAGACCTTTTACACTTTAAAAGGTCTTTTGTGTTACTTGTAATTGGGAAATAAATCATAGCAAAGCATAACAAAAACCTAACTCTGGCACTGGGCAAGTCATCAAAGACGTACAAAATGTCAAATTGTTGTCCATGAGAATAAACTACAATAGAAACTGCTAGTCCTAGAGGGTGGAAAGAATTGTGGCACAGCTTTTAAACACAAGTAGTGGAACAAATGCCCTGAGACTTCAGGGATAACATATCTGTATTTGCATTATTCTACTATAGCAAAATCAGTGCCTGTGAAACTGAAGTCCTACACAACCATATCATTCATTAGTCTGAGATTGATGCATCAGTTAATGATATCAAACTGTTTCTTTGTAAAGGGAGTCCTAGAAAAAGCACTGCAGTACATAGAGAGAGAGCCTGTTCAAAATAAAAGACGAGATGCATACATGATTTTAAAATATCATTTATTTACTTCAGTAAAGAAATTAAGATAAATAGATTTTTTGCAGTAGTAGTTTTCATAACTAGCCAAGTTGCTTTCATAACAGCTAAAAACATTGCATTTCATAATGATATTTTTTTTTTTAAATTTTTCCTCTAGCATCTTCCATATAGGAGTCTCAAATGTAAAACAACACTGAATTAGCCCTCACAGTATCCCTGTGAGGTAGATATCAGTGTTACTTTCTGTTCCTCAGTTTATTCTGAAATAAACTGAATGTTTTATATCAGTGTGCAAAAAAAAAAAAAATTGTAGTTTGGTCTAAATTCCAATCTTCCATTCCTCGTCCTGTGCTCTATGCCTACTACTTTTGTCTCCCCTTCTGAAAAGGGAGAACCAGCTGTAGGTGTTCTAGTCTGCCCTTCCCACACTTCTCCCTTTTGCTTTAAGGTTTTACTTAAACGTTTACAGCTTCTTCATTTACATATTTACATACAGATTCTTTGTTTAAAAAACTGAAAGCTAATAAACGTTCGTAATTTGTCTGAAATATACAGATTAAGTAAAACATCTGAAACCTAGAAATAAAGTAACTGAAAATACACTGACAACAGGTACAGACGACATCACTATTTTTTCTTACTGGACACAAAGGTCTGAAGAATTTTTTCACTAAGCTGCAAGCAGCAGCAATACAAAAACACGGCTTTTCTAAAGCGACTATTTTGCAGATGTATCAGGATTCAGTAGAGATTGAATCTCAAATTTGCCAGGACCATCCCTGACTGCTTGCCATGGCTATGGGATGATTTGTGCAGTGATGTACGTTCAGTGCAATCAAGATCTACCCACACAAGATCCTTAGAATGAAAAAATCCATGTACATTCTTCAGGGCAGACACTGAAGGAGGTCACATTGAAGAGCAAATCACTTCACTGAGGTAGAATGTGAACAATTTAGATAGCCACAAGTACATACCTGAATTGCTACAGATGTTCCTTCTCAACAAACTTAATGAGGGAGTTACAATTACGTATGTTGCATAGGCTAAAATAATTTATGTCTGAACAGTCTTGTGCAATAAACAACATGACCGGTTTTGGATGACAGAGCATTTACATTACTTATTTGAAAGCAGTTGAACAATAGTATCTTGGAACAGTAATTCTGAAATATATAGTTTTCGTATCAGTGCCTTCATGAAGCGAGTACAGAACCTTTTTTGAGTACTGCTAGCCTGTTTTGTGTCAATAGACAGCAAAGATGGTGAAAATCTTCTAAGTCAGAGGGAGCTCAGCAAACAAGAAAAATCTAAGAAAAAATTAAGTCCAGTTTATCCAAATTTCAACTATTCTTTCATCACGTATTAGACAATCAGAAGATGATTACCACCCATCAGCACTGATTACTGCCTATTTCCCATCTTAAGTAGGATTTCATCTTAACTCCAAGAGAATGATCCAGATCACAATCAATTTTTTGTACTAAAAGGAGGTCCAGTTAAAAAGACTTAAGCTTGTCTTGAAGTTGTGTGATTCAAATAAAACACAGCATCAGAAAATGTTTGTCCCCCTTCAAGTACAGAGTGTTGTTCGAAATGGCTATCCTGTGTGCTCCATGAGTGATCTGAACTCAGGTCTATGGTCATTATGTGGAAGCTTTTAGATGCCCCAGGGCCACTACCAGTTTTCTTCAGGCCTTGAAGGAAGCTCGAACTGTTCTCCCCTTAAGCGGCTGAGGGGGGCGGAAGTTATTCACCATCTGGACCTTCTGGTCTTCCTCACTGGTGAAGAGGAGCGTGCGGAACTTCTCCAGCTGTAAATTCAAGTGAGATAATTTACTGCTTAAAAAGGCAATTCATGTTAAAGTTGTTGAAAAAAAATACCAAAGGAAAATATTCACTACGTTAGCCTGTTTTTAAAATATGTTTCAACAAAGAATTAATAGTATTAAAGAAAAAAATAGAATCCCTGAATATTGAACAGGCTGACTATTCACAAACAGTCTTTTCAGTTGACCGCATTGCAAAGCACAACAGTCATTGCTTGTAGATACAGAGTCAAAACCTAAAAGAATTGGGAGAATGTCAGAAGTTTACCTGTTTCTCAGAAATACTGATGGGTTCTTTCAGCACTACCCATATTACACTCTCGTTAAGGGGTGGTGTTGTCAAAGATCCAAGGTACGTCCAATAATCTAGACTCAAAGGCAGGAGACATTTGGGGTTGAAGCTTCTAAATTGAGCTTTTGTCCCCTGGAAGACAATTGATACATTTCTCTTTTTTCTTAAAACAAACAAACAAAAAAAACCTTTCAAGTGCAGGTTAAGGTATTTTTGAAATAAAGTTAGAGTGATACTAAAGAGTAGGGGAGCAGAAGAAGAGCATGTAGTGATCCAGTTGCTTCATAGCAGCTGTTACCTAAGTGTAAGCCTGAAGACAGAATCAGAGAACTATTACATTCTCTTGTGTGGCAAGTGTGACCTCTGCTGCTAGCTGATGGAGTTGATGTTTTTGCGCCATGGTCTCTACGGAAGTTCAGCTTTCGTCACGAAACATCCAAAAATAGTGTAGGAAATATATTCTGTATACAATTTTCAGTGTGATCTACAGATATCATGAGAAGATTCCTCATCTTGTTACTTGAAGTTTTTGATGCAGTGCATCTATTTCAATAGAAAATCTGAAACTGTGGAAAACTTTGTCTAAAACAATCAGTGCTCTGAGAGAAATATCAGCTTTAAGAATCAGTTGACCAAGTCTAAAAGCAGAGCGAAGTGCATCAGGCAGAAGGCCAGTGCAAGAGGTGCTCTGTGTAAAGTAGTCATCACCTTGACTACTACAGTCTAGGACAAGATTTTCCAGCCTGTCACTGTGTTCAAAAATACCTGAAAAGTATGTAGTCACTCACAGAAAGCACTGCCCAGCAATCTGGGGAGCTGCTAATCCAGAGCAGACAGAGCAGTTTACTCCTGGTGGCAAGCTGGCAGACCTTCCATCACTACAAATGAAGTATAACACTTTCTTTCCTCTAAGTGGAAGAGATCACTTACTGAACATCAAAATTTCACTTTGTGTCTACAACCTACATATTCGACATTTTCAAGGTTAGGCTTTGTGGAAACTGTTTTGCTGAGTGTAAGAGCAGGCCTTACGAGTCATGGAATTTTTGACTTTAAATACTTCCTGAGATGCAGGACCCCTGAAGGACCAGTGGGGTCAGCAGAGCCTTGGGAGGCACCGGAGCTTAGGCAGACATTGAGGTCTGGAGATGAAGAGAGCAGAGATGTTGCAAAAGAAGAATACAACTACAGAGACGTTCTGGTGATGGGAGGATTTGTGGTGGGTGGTTTTCCATTTCTGTTTGTCTCAAACATATGACTTGTTTTAATGATATCCCAGAAAGAAGAAAATCTAAACAGCTTAAAACTTACTTTAAATTTTACCATGTACAAAGCATCAGTGAGTCTGTTCATATTGGCATGTTCTTTTCCAATCTACAATAGTAACAGAATAGACAAGTTAGCTAAGAATGACTGTAATTATGCTTTGAATAGGTAGCATATTGTTTTCTTATCTGAATCTCAAGATTTCTACTAAAGTAGGTTTAACAGCAATTTGCAATGAGTTATTACTTTCAGTAAGTCATCTGTTTTCCCTAACCACCTCTCAAGTATGTAGCATGGTTCTCAAACATTTGACAGTATAATGCTTTTCATCATGTAAACCTGCTATTTTTGTGATTGTTACCTCCAAGAAAACACCAACTACAGCCAAGCCATCTGGAGCCGCTGCTGCTTCTCCAAATGTTGCATACTTCTTGGCATTCCAGTGAACTAAATGGAGCTTAAAAAAAAAAAAAAAAAGAAGAAGAAGAATTAAACACATTAATGATAAAAACTGTCAATATAGATTTTCAGATGCTTAATAGCAATGGGAAAGGCCTATGTCTTGTCCCAACTCTGCAGAACATCCTCAAGAACCTCCCGATGAAGCTACTTCAAAGCTATAGATGGCATCAGCCACAATCATTTCACAGGCTGTGATCCTCAGCTGTAGCAGGTTAACTGTGCCAGCTTGGTAGAGATATATGCTGCTTTTCAGCATCATGTTTGCCAGTACGTCCTTTGTGTTATGCAGGCAGGAAGGATATAGTTGAGTGTAGCAGACTAAACCACACAACAGAGTACCTCTGGCGGTAGAAGTAGTGTTGTGTGAGCAAAACAGCCTAGCTGTAAGGCAAGCAGAGAAACTTGGAGAGAGGGCTGCACGGGGTGGGGAGAAGTTTGGACTTCCAAGACAGGGTAATTAACAGATAAATAATTTCACCATAAGGAATACAATTCTCATTAAAGCCTGTGCTGACTTAACCACAGTGAACTATCAGAATCCTGAGGGAAATCCAGACCCCACTGCAAAGCTATTTGTCAACAGCATGAATTCATCCCATCTGTAAAAAATGTTACCTCACATGGAAAAGGTTTGCCATCAATTGTATGCTCTGATCCCTCACTGTGCTTTGCCCCCCAGTGAAAGTGGAACTGCTTTAGCCGAAAGGGACTCTCAAAGGGGCCACCGCTGATCACTAGGCAGAAAGAAAGCAAGAAAAAAGTATTCAGGGTTTTTAGTTTCCTGTTACTAAAGCCTAACAACTGTTAGCTGCAGGTTTGTACTACTGTGCCTTTCCTAGTTTATGATGTAAGAGAGGTACATCATCCAGGTATTTTAAGGGTTAGATTTATTCATGGAAAACAGCTGAATTCATGTAAAAAATAATTTGACACAAATATTGAGTGGCTTCATAAATTGTTTCTGAAAGAATACATTTGACATAGGAACATATGGAAACTTTTTAATGGTTAGGCTTCTCCTTTTTAACACAAAGCCTAAGTTGAAGACCAAAAAAAATCTTAAGTACCTAAAACATCATCAATGTGCTTCTTTTGTGCAGAAGAGCCTAAATGCACTGAGCATCAGATAGACAATCCAGCTAAGTATTTCCTCTAAAGAGTATTCTTTCCAGTAGAGGATATCTATATTCTGCCTCCTTGAAGTATCTGATCCCATAAAAGAGGTAATATAATAGCTTGTTCTTTACACAACACCATTTAGAATCTCACATCACCTTACGAAGACAGGGAAGCGATACAGAGAAACTTCATACATCATTTAGAAAAAACACTTAAGATGAATTTTTAAGATGCCAACCATACATACTCTATCAGTGGCAATTCTTTTGTACTTTTATACAGCACTAAGCCAATTAAGTTTTGCTCAGCAGACAAAAATTCAAAAGTTTTAAATTAAAAAAAAGTACACTTAGCATGTGTAAGCTCATTCCAGTCTATAACATTAAAAATAAAAAAGGTACAGTTGCAGCATTGTGTGTGCTCCCACATGCATCGTTCCAGCTGTTCTTTGTACATGAAACTGGCCTTCCCACAGCGGTGCTCATAGAACTGAAATTAAACACACACTGTCCAGTGTGTTTCACTGAACTTAATCGAATGCATCACCTGTTCCAATGCTTTAGGAAATCTAGCTGTGTTGGATTTACTGTCAGAATTTTGTTGTACCATTTATGCAAAGCTATGAGTCACTAAATCTATTTCAAATCAACTAAAAACTCTTACACCAAACGTTTGTTCTCCTAGCAATCGTCTTCCTGCTAAGTGTAATTAGAACATGGTACATGCATAACGTAAAAAGGGCAGAGGTCTTAATTGCTGCTTGTGCTCTCCCTGTTTACAGTGATGCATAGTGCTCTTAAATGAAACTCCTGAAGTTGGATAAAGTTCACTGGTATGTAGATACAGTTCAATTTAGAACTGCATGAAAGTAGTCAGCAAGCTAAGATAATATTTCCAGAAAAAAATTTAGAAGTTCTCTGTAGGATGATATCTTAATGCATTTTTATGCAACAAGCTTTTGGAAACTGAGCATTTAGTCTTCCTTTCAAATTCAGTAGCTACACTTGAAAACCTCACCATTAATTTGGCCACTGTTCAGGTCCATTCAAGATGAGGAATGTTAGAATTAAGTAGCAGGAATTTTAATCCCCTGACCCTATTGCAAGAGGTTTCCAGCACAGACAAATCACAGGAAGTAACTTGTTCTGAGTACCAAGGTCTCCTATTAATCTAGAATTGATAAACACACTCAAGTAGAAGGTGAAATCAATTGATAGGTTAAAAATTATTCACAGTATTTTTAAATGCTCACGTCTCTATTTATCAGAGATGCTTTGTCTCCATTCCAATGCTGCATTTGTTGGCCTCCTTCCTTCCCCTCTCAGATGCAAAAGCAAGGCTTACCATGGATGTAGAATTAATAGAAGTAATCTCATTTATATTTTTGCCAAGAGTTAGAGAAAATACATATATATATACAATGGCAACATCCACAAGCTGCAGCCGAATCAAAATAAGCTGAAGACTGCAATTTCTAAACAAGTTGTACTGCTATGAGGCAGTAAGAAAAGAAAACACAAGCTAATAGTTAATGACTGGTCCAGATAAAAATAGGTCTAGTGCAGTACAGTTATGATGGCTACACTGTACGACCTCATCTCTGATAATCCTCTTCCTTATCCGGCCTTGTGGATGTAAACTGGGGAGTGAGCCAGACAGCACTAGCATCCCAGTGCGGACTGTCGTGGAAGCAGTGCACTGAGCAGTACGTACCTGCTGTCCTGCTGCCTGTGGTCTAGCAGTGCTGGAGATCTGCATGGATTCCCTCTCCAACAAACTGATAATCCCTATATAAAAGGAACCCCTCCAAACAAACATTTTCCCAATACAAATGCTCTTCCTAATACAGAAACTATTCAGCTGTGAGGTATTTAGCGCTGTTAGAGAGACTGAAATGAAGATAAGGAATAATGCTCAAGCAAACAAAGTATAAATGGTTTTGTTTGCATACTTTGTTCTAAAGTGAAACTATAAGTTGTATAAAGTATACTATAGAGGAGGTACTTCATCGTTTCTCTCTCTAAACCATAACACGTCGTTCCAAGGTAGCTGGTTATGCATTAGTCTCACCTGTCTTGTCATCAATATCTTCAAACTCAACCATAACTGAATGGCCATTGTTGGAGATGTTGAGAGATGTGCAGGACTCGTAGGAGATAACAAGCGGCATCAGCTTCGGGTCATAGACTGCTTTTGCAGAGATTATATCAATGGGTGACTGACGGTTCCCTCGGGCAATAGGATAAGACTTGTGCCACTCTGCAGGTCCTTCAAAACCAAAGAAAAGAGAGCACATTATTTTCTTCCTACTACACACACACACAATTATTTCAGGATTTCATGAGGCTTGAAGTAAAGCTTGCTGAGCAGGAGTGACTTGAAAGTTTGGCATTTGACAAGCTCATTTAAATTCTGAGTTTTGTGTTTTTATTAGCACAGTGTGCAACTAGATGGGGGATTGAAGCATGTTATACCAAATACACTGGGGAAGCCAGAGCACATTAACAGACTGCTGCACCTTCATTTACTTGCACCACTAATCTTTTGTGGAGTCAGTAATTACATTTTTAAGGTGATCCGAAGTCCTCCCAAGGTGTGTGCAGATGTAAGCACGCTTGTAGGTACACATGCACTCCCTCAAAGGAGCAGCATTTAATTCTTCCTAGGGAAGATAATGTAAAAGCTCCTGTGATTCAAATTAGATGCAGATGACTCAATCTCTTTGCTACTGACTGTGCAGTTATTTTTAAAGTCATTTTAGGATGGCAGTAAATCTTTGGAGCAGCTTCATTCTTCACTCATGCCCATTACAATATCTTTCTGCCCTGAGCAAGAAGTACAGTGTGGTAATTAACACTTCTGGACTTACTGAACCCAATAGAGCAGGGTGAAAGACCAATTTAGTAACTTTGCTCTCTCCTGGCAGAGCTGGAACACCATCATGCTGTTTGAGATAATAAAAGCCTCTATGTATAAAACAATTACTTCTGACCCCTTTTTTTCCACTTCAGTAGTGCAGGAAGCAATTCCATGCTTCCACTGCTCATATTCAGGAAATACAAAAACTAACAATTTCACTTGAAGATTCCAAAGATTACTATTATTTTTTTAAATGGCAGCATTCTCACCTAATTCCACAAACTGACTTTTTTGTTTTATTTTAGTAAGCACACCTTCTTTGAGAGTAATTCAGTGATCTACTAGCCTCCTACCTTCAAGATTTTCTGAAAAGTTAGACTTATTAGATAGTATGTTTTCATCAACCTGCCTGGAAAGATTGGAGTTTAAATGCTGTTACACAAGATTAGACAACATCATTTGCTTCTTATAAGCTTTGCATTAATATGTGTGGCTTTATTAATAGCACCTAGATGTCTAAATATGTAATGGCACCCACTGGCACTATGCAGCTTCACTCAGTGTTCAGGTGAAGTTGGTTTTGGACCAACTAGCAGTAGAATAGCTGCTGCCAGGAGCCTAACAGAGAAAGAGAGGGGCTCCTGGAGGTTATGCAAAAGATGGGCTATTGGACAACAGCAGTCATTCAGCCATCATGCTCTGCAAAGGTACAGGTGGCATGAGACACTGTCGTACAAATCTTTCAGTAGTTTCACACATCCTCTCACTCTGACACACAGTTCTGTAGGCGGGAAGCAAGGGAGGATGACTAAATTAAAGACTGCCAAATCAGAAAGCACAATTTGTTCAATAAGGGATCTCCGATACTGATCTGTGCAATTTATTCACGCTCCAGAAATACATACGTGATTTTATTCACTTTAGAAGCCTAGATATCACATTTCAACAACTTCACAGAATCAGAAGATCTATTACTGCTCTACTAAGTCTTCTAAGAAATGCTTTCAGAAAGACAGACAGTTAATCATTTTCATAGCAGCCTTTTGGAAAAGGACCCATCTGTAATATCTGCAGCCTGAGGATAAAACTGCTCAGCACTGCTTCCCTCTATTTAGGAGGGATAATTGCAATAACAAAAGGCAGCAGGAATAAGTTTGTGCATCTTTCAGATACCACCTTCTGCAGGCAACCTATCATCAACCCAGTAATTAACTAGCTGCTGTTTATACTTGATGCTTGCAGACGTAGAGATGCAGGCAGCTCTGCAGGACTCAGGCAGCAGTTCCAGAAACAAAACGAATGGGGGAAGACAGAAAGATGCAGCACGGAAATGCTATAACCTACCGTCATCCTGCCCATATCCCCAACTGTGGTGGCCAGTCATAACGGGACAGCCGCACCCCGCTGAGCTCTCAACTCTTTGCCAAGCACTGCTGCTTACCTGCCTTTATAATGGCTCACCGGGGGATCGGGTCAGCCCCTTAAAGACGCAGAGCAGCCCGAGCAGCTCCGGCAGGATGGGAACAGCCAAGTTTTTCCCGCTCCTCCTTGTGCTAACACAGTGCAGGGAAAGGAAAGGGCAAAACCCGGGTCGCTGGAGTCCAAGGGCTTAAGGAGGAACCAAGATCGTCCGGGGGGAACTAGAACGAATGTTTGGGAATTAAATCTGGGGAAAAGGAGCAGTTTTTACTCATTCTGCATAAGGAAGCAATAGCTTGCTCTGAGCACTGGGCATGGTAATGTGCAAATTGTAATGGGAACTGCCCATTTCTCCTGTGTTCTGCAGGGACGAACATCACCTGGCTTCTGCCTGTCTGTTCTTACTCTCTCCAGCTGCAAAAGAATGACAGATGTTGTCAGTTATTTGTAACTACAGCTTTGGAAGCTGTGCTCAGATGAGATGGAGAACATTCTCATCTCAAAAAAGTGATTTGTGCTACACTTAAGCAAGGCAGTACCAGACCAATTTAAGATAAACTGGCAATCTGTTTTTTTGTTGTTGTTGTTGTTTAACATAGAAACCCTTTAAAGGACAAGAATGTAAATAGTGTACTTCTATTAGGAAACACCCTGGCAGACTAGGGAAAGGAGATGAGCTGTGAATCAGTGATGTGCTGTAACCCACTAGTTGCCTGCATCTAGCTACAGAGCTACAAGGAGATGCACAGTCCGTACTTTAAAAGCTCTTGGAACAGTTTTGTAATAAGAAACATGGTTCCTTGGTAGCAATTTTATTAGATCTAAGGAGATACCATCTGTTAAGGCAGCATTTTATAAATGCAATATTGATTTTCATAAAGACAGGAGCACACAGATAGGGATCCTTCTATTATGCAATGAAGAAAATGGGAAAAAAATCAATGAAAGCATTTTAAGCATTTTTTTTTTCTATTCTTGTACTGCCTCATAGCAATACATTTCCTTTTTCAGGAGCTTTCTGAGAGAGTCAGCTTTAAAACCTCTGAGATTTACGGGTTCGGGCTAAATCACTCAATAAGGGATGCTATAAAGGTATCCATGTGGCAGTTTTACAATGACTTACTCAGATCCACTCCTCCATTTACTTGTGTTTAACTTGTGTGATGTGCTGAGGCCCCTGAGCAGAGCAGGCAGGCAGCGGGTGCTGACCCTGCAGGTGTGTCTGTGCAGTACATGGCCTGCACTCATCCTGCTGCCCTGGCGCTGGGTTAAAAGCTCGGCTGCTTACGAGGACAAAGCAGCTGGGAGAAAACTATGATGCTTCTCATTCTTCTTCTGGTGTGGCTCTGATTCAGCAACCAGATGTAGGCAGGGTCAGTCAGGCAAATAGCAAATAGATGTGGTGGGGAAATCAACCTGCCAGTGAAAAGAAACACAAGAAGAATTTTGCACCTTAGTGAAGCAGAGGCCAGAGGAAAACTGTATTTTAGACAAGGAGCACTTCATTCAAGAGGTACTTGAAAACTGAGGCCCAAATTATGCTCTCAGGGCACAGTGCATCAAAGTGGCCTAACGTGTATGTGTGTTTGATACCACTCAACACTTCACCTTTTATGTCTTCACATTCAAAAGCAGTAAAGATGTGTATTTCAAAGGGAAAACAATGAGAAAAGAGAAAACATGCTGACAACATGACAGGAAGTGGACTCTGCTAAGTGGGGTATAAAGAGCTGACTTAGAAAAGGTGAAAAGAGGAGTGACAGTGCATGAAAGATAGAAACAGACTGAATGAAATAATAGGTATAAAGATAGCCATATCTCTAGTATATATTTGTTTATATACGCAGTACTTAATGTGTTTCCCTCATCTTTTTTTTTTCTTTTTTTCTTAATGGAAGCAAAAATTAACTTTTCCTTAAGGCTAGGATGATACGCTGCATGTACAGATACCAGATTATTCTTTAATCCCAATTCCTGTTGACACTGACTGCCTCTAATTGTGGATTTTCACTGCCCTGAGCATATCATTTGTCACTTTCAAAGTTGCAGTAGTAATCAAATTATGGTCTCAATAGTACTAGTTTGTACCAGTGATAATTACATCATTCTGATTAAATCCAACTTAAGGAACTGAGAAGCAGAGAGTGGTAGATGTTTAATGGGTAGATTTCTCCATTGAGAAGCTAAAAATGAGGTACCCGTGATTTCCACAGATTTCCTGCAGATTCTGACTATACCTCAAAACTTTCTGCTCAGCAGTGAATGATAGGAAGGCAGAATTCCATCCACCATGGTGAAAAGTTTCGAGAGGTCTCAAAAGAATAATTCTGTCTTCCCTCAGCCTTCACAGTTAGCATTTTATTGCTCTTGAAAAGAGAAGCAATGATGGATGAGCAGTGCAGCAGCCTAGGACAAATACATGGGTTCTTCTTCTAAACCTGTCACTGCATTGTCATACCAAACTACTGACACTTTGCATTTCCTGTTCCCAAATACAGAATAGTTGTTTTTGTTTTTGTTTTTGTTTTCAAATAATTTGAGGTCCCATTATTGAAATTGCTATGTAAGTACTAACCATTACTGTCAAAAAGCTACAAGGAAATTAGGTTGCCAAATTGTAATTGAACACATAAAACTTTGAAGATTTGAGAAACTGATTTTTTAAGGTGAGCTGTCTCTATGACACAGATCTGGTGTCATTGGGAAATATTCACAGAAGAAGATTGTGTCACTCGGGGACAATGCTTTTAGTAGATATTACTGTGTCACTGTAGAGCGATGGAGCTCTGTTTTAGAAAACATAAAAGGAAGAAAAGTCACTGTGTTCCAAAGTGAATGGCTGAAGGGTACTCCAAGAGCATTTGCTTGCATAACTTGGCAATTCTCTTTGCTGAGCATCTTTAATGGTGGCAACACACATTTGAACAACCTGACATGTGCCTTCTTAATTTAGTAGATATGCGTCATTGCTTTTGAACAAAATATGACAGGAATACAATCAATTTGGACACAGGCTGCTCACCCCAGAGCCTTCGGAATACAGTAGATAGGAGCAGATGAAGCGTTAAAACATTCATCACTCCAGAGCTTGCCTACACCTCAGGTTCTTGAGAGTATCTGGTTTATCCAGACAGCTCATCTCTCTTCTTATATTGCCATTACTGATGCTGCCAGTTTCCTAATGGGTGTCATACTGAGATGATACTGGCCAAGGTGGGGCAGAAAAGAGGAAGTGGTGCCTGGTTCTGGGGAGCCCCCAGCCTCCACACACCATTTTTGCTGTAACTTGTCTTTGGCTTTTAAAGCCATACGTATGTGGCTGCCTTATGCCAGAAACAGGGAACTAAGTATGAAAGGGTAATTCTTATAATTTATGGCCTGACCAGTGGAGGCCATGTAATTATAGCAGTCAGCAGGTACAGAACGAGCCAATTTTTGGTTTGGGAAGACAGACTGTTCCCACTAAATATTCCAGCAGTTCCTCAAGTGTCAACAGGAGGAAGGATTTACTGTGAGAGCCAACACAGAGCCCGATAAGAAGGAATTTTGGGGGGGGCACAGCGTATGGGAAAAGAAAAGAGGAAGCACCATGCTGTGTTAAAACGTCATCTGCAAAGCTTATAGCTCTGTGTTACGATTGCACTGCTGCATGCTGCATGCCAGGGGTAAACAGCAGACCAAGTGTAGCGCTGGGCAGTGTGATGGCCCGTGTGGGCTGACGGAGCCGGAGCCAGGGACGGTGCTAGGGCTGCTCGGAACTGACAGAAACGTTGGCAGGTGTGTCAGTCTTGTCCTTGTGCTGAGATTGATCTTACATGGAAAAGATTTTGTAAGAGAAGTACATAGAGGTACAAGCACAGCAGATTTGGGGTTTTACTGTCCGCCTATTGATAAGCAATGACTGCAGCAGTGCAAGCTGTCTTGACAACACGTCCCTGGGACTGTGTGACGGCGGGTACCCGAGGGACCAGACGCCACAAAAGCCTCACAGCCCCATCGCCTACATGGGACTGAGAGAGCATAGTGCCGCGCTTCGGGCTCCTCAGGCCGCCCCGCCTCACGGTCCCGCTGCGCCTGCGCAGCGCCCGCCGGGAGGAGCGTGCGGCCATGGCGCAGCCGGGCAGAGCCAGCCTCAAGGAGCAGCGCTACGACCGGCAGCTGAGGTAGCGCGGCCGGGCCTTCGGGACTCCGCCGGGGCTGCCGTACCCGCAGTCGGTCCTCAGCCCGCTCGCGGAGGGCCGCTTGTTGCGGTGCCGGCTTCGCCTTTCGCTTCGGGCCGCCCTCATGTCTTCCGGCGGCGGCCTCCCCGCAGCCATGGGGCGGAGAGCGCCGCGGCGGGACCGGCCGGCTGCCGGGAGGGGCTCGGGTCGGCCCCGTGCCGCTGTGAGTCCCCGTGGCGGCCGTGAGGAAGAGCTGCCCGGAATGGGGGCTGGGCCCAGCGAGCGGCGGCCCCTGTCCGCGGTGCGGTTTGTTGGGGCCGACCTTCAGGTGCCTGCTAAAACTTGAGATCGTTAGCGGGAGCCGTAATGCGTTCCGCGTCCCTTCAGCAAGCGTGCTGCGCGCTGCCGAGCGGTGAGATCGCAGCGCCGTGACATCAGCGCGGCGGTCCGGAGCGAGCGCTGCCCGGCCGCAGCTTCAGCACGGGCGTTTCTGCCGCTCTGCGTTTGTTCGCGGCTGTCCCACCTGCCGGCGTTATGGTTCTGGTTCCCTCTTGTTTTTAATGCTCTGACGTTAAACGTAAGCGAATAAAAGAAGCTTCATTCATTATCTGTGTTAACGGTTGCATACGTGCCCCAGGCAAGCCGTGGCGTTGGCTGCCCCTCCACCCCGCAGCTGCTTCGCGGCTGCTGTGCAACCCGGTGTCTGCCAGCATCTCAGGCTGTAGAAGTGTATTTTCTATAAAGGAACCTATGGAAAAAAAAGCGTTCTGTTTTAATATTTCTTTCCAACAGCAGCTTTTGCTGAGGAGTGTTTTGACCCATACTCATGGCT